GGAGCAAGCTCAGTGCTGGGCAGGGGCTCCCTGGGGAACGGCACTTCAGTGCTTTAGTCCGGGGCCTTTCCTGCTGCCCTCCCTCCTGGAGGCAGAGGATGACCCCTCCCTTGTTCCTCCCACGCTCGCAGACCCAGGTCCTGCTCTTTTGGCCCCACTTTTCTTAGCAGACCCGGCATCATTTTCCAGGGTCCCCAGGAAACTTCTGCACTTGACCCATTGCTAAGTGCAGAGCACAGGGCAAGGCAAGGACAAATTTCTCAGCACCCACCACCTGGAACTTTCCTTCTCCGCAGCACGCTCCCGTCCCCGCTGTCTCTGGAGGTGCCCGCACGAGTCCTCCTCGTCCCAGCACCTAAGAGAATGTCATTTTCACCCCGGTCCTGCTTCCCGTCGTCCAACAAAACACGCTGACAACATTTTTCACCACGCCAGCGGAGAGCTATCAGAGCACACTGCACAGGGAAGCCGAGGCTGCCCCATCCCTGGAAGTGTTCCAGGCCGGGCTGGATGGGACTCGGAGCAACCGGGGACAGTGGAAGGTGTCCCTGCCCACGGAAGACGGGGTGGCCTTTGAAGGTCCCCTTCAAACCAAATCGCTCCGGGATTCCCCTCCAAAATCCCTACCAAAGAGGCACAGCAATCAAAGCAGAGGGACTGCACTCCCAGCTTTTCTTACCTGCAGGCACGCTGGACATAAAAGCCGCAGGCTCAGTCCTGCCAGAGGCGTCCGGCACATCCACGGCGACCGAAGGGAAAGAGGGAGCCTGGGAACACGGAGTAAAAGACACCTTAATTAGGACTGCACCGAGCAATAGCCAGGTCATTCCCACAGACAGCTTCGCCGGCCAGTCACACGAAAAGCACTTACCCAGCAGGGCCTCAGTTAGGATGGCTCCTGACGCTGACCAGGCGAACGCCTCCGTTTGCCCCGGGGGGTCAAGAAGAACATCCCTGGTAAGAAGTCACCCCGAAGGACAAAAAGGGAAAATTAGTGAAGCACGGGCTCCTCTTCTGACTAGACTGCCACCGGCATTCAACAGCAAATGCCACGACTCTTCTGTTACAGATGAGAAAACCCTGTTCTCCCAAACAAACAGCGAGGAGATCTATGGGCACGCCTGAAAATTTCCTGGGAGGAACTTTTGGTAACTAGGGAGCAGGTGCTATCTTGAGTTGAAGGCATCAATTTGACAGACACTTGGTACAGCAAACTCTTCAGCAGAGGAATTAATTGCTGCCTATTTGAACAGCAGGGGAGAGAAAACAACAGTCTAAGGGAAGACAAGAAAAGCAGAACTGGAATCAGCAGACTTTTCTTCCGTCTCTCCCGAGAAAGTCGCGTTTCTCTGTTCTAATAATTCTATGCCCTTTTCTACATGAACCTTAGACCAAGGCCGAAAAAACAACTAAAAAACACGGAGAGAAGCTTTTTAGAATTTCATGTGATTTTCCCAAACCGATCCCAGAAAAGCAGAACTCGGTAGAATGGACTCACCTCAAGGCCTTTGGTCTTTTTTTCCATAAGCTTCGTCACCTGACTGAAAAAGCAGAGCAGACTCGGTATTTAGGCTCACAACAGGAAAACTTCACCTTCCTTTCCTAAAAGAAACTACATTAATTTGCACAGCTGCAGGTGCGTATCCAGATGTTAAAGTCTTCCAGCTTTTCAGAGGGTGAGAATGAGGAAGGCTAAGGAAGGCTGAAAAATGCTCGGACCCTGCACAGGTCAAAGACCACCTTGATTTTGTCTGTGTTCCAGTCCCTGGCTAAAGAAACGGTAGAACAACCGCAGTTGTTCCTTGCCTTTTCCCTAAGAGGTTTTGCCAGGTGCTGGGCCAGCCCGGGCACTCCGGGGGCAGCCAGAGCTTTCTGCGGTGGCCCCTTTTGTCCGGGAGGAATCTCCGTCCCTATTCGATTCTGGGAATCGGACTGGCAACGCAAGCCAAGTCACCGGCAGAACTCTGGACCTTTGGTCTCCTCAGAGTGCCCACGGCGAGGGGAAAAAGAACATTTGGGTCACTGTCCCGGGGATGGAAACAAACAGAAAACCACGACACCGGACTGAATTCCCCCGCAGAAGCCCAAATTCACCGAACGCCTGCTGAACTCAGAAGGGGCACACTCCCTCAAGCCCAAGGCATCCTTAGGGCGCCTCCGACTCCGGATTTAAGGTCGGAGAAGCTCGGCAGGGCCAAAACACCGCCGCTTTCCCACGGGCGTCGCTTGCAAGGGCGCCCCCGAGCGCCGGGCCCTGCCTCACAGTCGCCGCCTGGCGGACACGGCCGGGAGCGGCACTGCAGCCGCGCGCGCCACTGCAGCCGCGCGCCCCCCCCCCTCGGCGAGACGCGCGGCGCCTTTCGCGAGTACGGGCCTTTCTTCCCTAAAACCTGCCCTTCCCTAGGGAAAGCTGAGCAATTCACACAGTTGCTGTTTCCACCCCAGCTTCCCAAAGCATTTCTCTCTCCCGCTGGCACAGACAGGGTCCCCGAGGCAGCGCAGACCCTCCCCGCGGGGGGGGGGGAAGGGGCCGGGGGGGGTGTGCAATGCCAGGGCACATCCGAACCCGGCTCTGCGGCGGCACGCAGGTGCAAGTTTCTCCGCAGAGGCGAGAAACTTGCCTGTCGCTTCCCCTGCCTGCAGCCCGACGGCCGCGGGAGAGGCAGAAGAGCGGCCGCGCCCCCGCCGCGCCCCCGCCGCTTACCCCGGGGACGATCTCCGTCGGATCTGCCGCCGTGGGTCGCTTCCGGGGGGAAAAAGCGACGGCGCAGCCCCGACAGCATCTCCGGGGCACGGCAGGACCGAGCGGGAGCGGAAGCGGGAGCGGGAACGGGGCGGTGCGGCAATGGCGCCTGGGGTCCTCGCGCGCCGCGGCGCCGAGAGGGGGCTGCGGGCGCCGGTGCCTGCCGCCGCCCACAAACCTGCCGCCCGCGCCCGGCGCCGCCGAGCGCCCCGCCCTGTCTGCACAGCGGGAAGCGGCGCGGCGAGACGGTGCTGCGGGAGCGGGGCGGGGGTCCGGGTCGCGGCGGAGGTCAGGCAACAGGATCGACGCCTCTCCGAGGCAAGGGGTCCTCTCGCCGCCATCTTTAGTGTGGGCTCGGCTAAGCTGCGGTCCTGGCGGCGCCATCTTGAGTGTGGCCTTGGCGGACTTCCGGGCCGGGCCCGCCATCTTTGTGTACGGGCTTGGAGGTCTTCCGGTACCGGCGCCGCCATCTTTCTTTCGAGGTGGCCTCGCAACACTTCCGGTCCGGGACGGCGCCATCTTTTCTGGTGCGCCGCCGAAAACAGTCCGGTCGCCCTCTACTTCCGGTGACCGAGTTTACACAAATTACCGTCCCTCGCTAATTTCTGCGCTTTCGCCCCAAAAATCTTCATGTTATTTCCCCCACACACACACCCCGGGAGAGACGGGAGACCGCAAGTCCCGCCGTGCCGCCGGAACCGGCCCTTACCTTGAGCAGGGAGCGCTGCACCGGCACGAGAGCCATTGCGCATGCGTCCCCGGTCCCGCTCCAGGCCGCCCTTAGTTACCACGTGATCGCCGGCGTCTTGCCAAAGACTGCGCATGCGCCGGCGCCGCCATCTTGGCTTCCCCCTCCAACCCCCACCCCGCCGCCCGACCGCCCGGCTTCGCTTTCTTACTACGGCTCCCCCTCCACTTTTTCGGCTCCCTGGGGTTCCCCCACCCACATTTTGGGGTCCCTTTCTCACATTTTAGGGGTGATGACTCCGCCATTTACGGTTCGGAGGGAGGGGGGGTGGAGGAGAGGAAACGTGGTGCCCAAGAAGGGGTTCCCTTTTTTTTTTTTTTTTTCTCTTTTCTTTCATTTTCATTTTATTTCCTTTTTAGCTTTTTTGATTTTAATTTTTTTATTTTCTTTTGTATTTTATATTTCCTTTTTTATTTCGTTTATTTTTTATTCTCTTTATTTTTCATTTTCTCTCCCAGTGCTCCCCAGTAACACCCAGTGCTCTCCAGTGCTCCCCAACAACCCCCAGTAACACCCAGTGCTCCCCAAAAATTGACCCAAATCATCCCAAAAGCTGACCCAAAACTGACCCCAAAAGCTGACCCAAATCATCCCAAAAGCTGACCCAAAACTGACCCAAATCACCCCAAAAAATGACCCAAAACTCTGCATTTATTTGGCCTCATTTCCTCTCAAAAACAACATCTCCAATTTAGTTGACTGCTAAAGCTCGGCAGGGCCAAAACACCGCCGCTTTCCCACGGGCGTCGCTTCCCAGCCCGCCCCGAGCGCCGGGCCCTGCCTCACAGTCGCCGCCTGGCGGACACGGCCGGGAGCGGCACTGCAGCCGCGCGCCCCCCCCCCCACACACACTTGGCGAGACCCGCGGCGCCTTTCGCGAGTACGGGCCTTTCTTCCCTAAAACCTGCCCTTCCCTAGGGAAAGCTGAGCAATTCACAGAGTTGCTGTTTTTATCCCGGCTTCCCAAAGGATTTCTCTCCCGGCGGCGGCAGCGGCAGCAGCGGCAGCGGCAACAGCAACGCTCCCCGGGAAGCCCTGACCGAGGCTGGGAATTGACACACAACAAGCCAAGAGCATTAACTCGGCCCCAAAACACTCCACAACAAAACAATTTACAGTCACCTTTGCCTCATCACCCCCACGCAAGCACAGGCTTTGGGATTCCAAGGCAAACCCCGAGAGGCTCAGAGGCCAGCAGCCCCTGCTGCTCCTCCCACTCGGCCAGTGGGGCTGAGAGAGGGAAGACGTACAGAGGAACTGGAAAAACCACACCAAATCTCAGGAAGTCTCCTTCTGCTAAAATCTTGTGCCTGTGTTTACAAACCTCCAGGAAAAACACTCCTACTGGAGGAGTCCTGGATTTTCCTTTGGCATTCAATGAACTGGCACAGCTCAAAGTGATGCCATTAAATTCTCCATCTCCAAAATCCAGGTTCTCCTTTGCCATGGGGCTTTTGCCTGTCCCACAGTCCAGAGGGACTTCTGGCAGCTGCACTGCCCAAGAGCTGCTGTGGTACTGCTGGGAAACTTCCCAGCATTGGGAGGGAGGCAGAAATAAAGTAATTCAGGGCACTACCTCAAAATATTGGGGGGAAAACCCCATAACATTCCATTGCCTCCTATTTTAAACAAACACCAAGCTGCTTAAATACAACCAATAAACTGTACCCTACAACTATTTGGCACTTTCAACTTAACCAATGCAAGTCAGTTGGTAAATCACACAACGTTAACTTTTTTAAAAAAAAAAAATATATACAAAAATCAACGAGAGAAGATATTCCCCCTGTGGTTTTACTCTTAGGAAAGGAAAAACCAAACCCTTCCCCAGTGCTACAATACCTCAGGCTCCCAAAATGGCCCAGGGAATGCTGGGGCTTTTGGTTGCCCTGGAGCCCTGGGTCACCCCCCTCACGGACACAGCTGAGAACCCAAAGAGCAGCCACACCAGCAGCTCCTGCGAGCCCTGCTGTGCTGGGCCTTGGGGAGGAAGGGCACTGGCCTTTCTTCCTGCCCAGGAAGAAAAAGTCTCCTTGCTGATGACTTCTCCTGCCAAGTGCATCAGCTATGAAGGGAAGTTCACAAAGTGCAACTTCGTGGACTGAGAAAGATTCCTCTTTCCTGGAAAATCTCTTTACAGCTGAACTCAGACAGTACTCACTGGAGGTGCAGGGGAAAGGACAAGACTGAAGCCATGACCCATCAGAAACACATCAGGACTCACTGGAACCGGTTCCAACGCTGCTGGTGCTCCTTGGGAAAGTCTGGAAAACCCTCAGAAGTGATGCTGATTCATCCTGTTTTGTCTGAGTCTCTTCTTGGACCTCGACTGCTTTTAGCAGAGATGCTGCTACCTCAGTAAGGTCTTGGAGTACTCCTGTAAGATATTTTAGGACTTACTGACCGAAAAAGCATAAAACTTTTATTATGGACATCTGAACTCTGACAGACAGCTCCTTTTCCCTTTCAGTACAAAATTATTTTCACGGTATCATTTAATAGGAAGCACCCAGGAACCCAAGACTGAGCTCTCCAGAATAGAAAATAAATGGAGGGAGGAAGCTTTGCACAGGTGTAACATACTCCGCAACAGACCTGACTTTATTTTTAGTCTTTGAGTTAAAATATTTCATAGTAAAACTCCAGCACAAGAGCTGGCACATTCCCAACAACGTGAATGTCACTAGAACTGCTTTCCTGGATATACACAGATGTCACACACAGCTACCTACACACCTTTTCTCCAGCCTACCCATCACCAAGACTTCCTTTCCCAAGCCTCTAGTTACAGAGGAACTAGTTTTGTTTCTGGTCTGTGAGCTAAGCATCTTCAACCTATCAACAAGCAATACTTGGCCCTATAAAATTACAGTATGCATTTTACACCTATCAGCTTTCAACATGCTTTCTTTTCTTCAATCATTTTCTTGTTCTGGGTCATGCGACCTTTGGTTCCACACACATTTTAGACACTTCCTCTCACCTCCTGCCACATTCGCTTCCGTTCTGGCAATGTCCACTGCTTTGTTAACCCTTTGTGTGCTTGCTCTGGTCACGGTTCTCTCCAGGGGCAGCACTGACAGCGGAGGGGCAGTACAGCTTCCTGAGTCCCTGCGCGTTGCTGCACATGCACCGCTCTGCCCTTCGCTTTGTGCCCCTCACGTACACGCCTTGTTGTTTTGGGGGGGGGGGGAATTCATTACTTCTTCATCACTGCGGAGCTCATGCACATGGGCAGGAGCCTCCGCCCTGCACATGCTCAGCCTTCTTAGTTGCAGTGCTACTGAGCGGCAGAGGAGCCCAACCCGGGACCAGGTGTGGGAGGAGCACAACAACGGAGAGGGAAGGACACTTGAAACAAGGCGGGGCAGTGCAGAGCAAACACCCTGGCAGGGGAGGGTAGCACACAACAGTCTGCTACACATACTGTAGCAGAAGTCAGAATTGGAACATGAAAAAATATACTCCCTCCCGCTCACCCTTAACACAGAAGCTGCTGCAGAAGCCCAGGATGGACTCTGGGAGCATGTCCATCAGAGCACCAAGCACATCTGCAGGAGCCACAGCCCAAAAGATTCACTAGGGCACTGAGCTCCACCTCTGGGCCCTGCCAATCCCTGCAGCTTTTAACCGGCCCCAAGATGAGATGAGGCACTCAATTCTGCAGCTTGTTCCCATCAGCACGATGCCATCCACACCCGGATCTGCCATCACTGGCCTCATTAGGGAGATCTGGGCCCACCACTGAGGGTCACAGTCTGCCTGTGAATTGCTGGAACCAGCAACAAGTCATGGTTATTCCTTATGTTCTCAAACTCAGGGAACAAACAAGGTGCACGCATGGGCACACAAAGCACATTTGAACACACGTACACTGTGCTAAGAAATATCCACTTGCACGGGCCCTCAAGGGCTTCACAGACAGCTGTCCCATGGACAGAGATATCACGGCCACGGGTACATGGAAGATGACTAATCCTGGCTGCTCCCAGCCTCTCCCCCTCAGGGAACCAGGGTTGCAAGGCAGAGCTCTCCTCTGAGGCAGCAGCTGGGGCTGGCATTCTTCCCAAAAGGTGCATTCAGACCCGCCACCCTTTACCGATTCCATCACAATACTGCCCCATGTCATTCCTTCATTTGCATTGAAGCTCAACAAGGCTGCAGGACAACAGAGCCCTGTATCAGTTCAACCAAATTTGTATGTGGAGCTACTCACATTGCTCACCTTCACGGAACATTGTTTGTTACAAGGACTGAAAAAAAAATTAAAAATATCCTTCAAGTCATCAATTTATTAGGTTATCAGAACTCATCCTTGT